GCGCCGCGCAGGCTGGAAAACTTCGCCCGCTTTGCCCAGCCAGGCCGGTGAAGAGTTTTCTAGAAATATCTGTAAATGAATAGCTGCCATCAATCATTGTCATTCCTTTATTTCATGTCTCCTGATGAGGTTGACTAGTGTCATTGTTTGTTACTGTCCAAACCACATCTTCATTCTTGTAATGTCAAGCAGATATGACAAGCACACATTTTCCAGATGAGTAAGATACAAAGTCACCTTTTAATTTACAGTTGTTTGGGTTTTTTTGTTTGTTGGTTTTGTGTTTTGTTTTTTTTTAATAAGCAAACGTGTCATAAAATTTACTGGATGTTCAGTTGCCTTTGGTACTAAAGCAAAGTCACTCATTAACGACAAGAAATAAATCTGGAGTAAGAAATTCTTACAATAAAATGGCTACCTAAAGCCTTTTATAACAAGAATTCTTTTATGGAGCTTGTCCCCCGCTATTAACTTCACCACTCTCAGAGCAAAATCTGCCAAAATTATTGCTGGAGCAAAAGAAATGCAGAGGGCAGGGAAATACATTTTTAAAAAAGAAGAGAGATTTGACTGTTTTGTCTCTTCCTTTTTAAATAACAATTAGATAAAGAGAAACACAGCCCTCAGAGGACCAAATGGTGGGCTAGTTCTTTGGTTTTTGTGATTATTGTTGCTGTTGTGGTTGTTGAAATCTTTTGTGTTCCCGACACTGGCAGATTTTTAAGACTGATTTCCAACACTTACAGGGAGTGTGTGCCTGACAGGGGACTAGTTAATGGAGTCAGTATAAAACGCTAACCAGATAACAGTGAACAAAATAAACCCGGCAGTATTTAAAAAAGACCGTAACGTAGGTGACCAAGAGTAATATAAAAGGCCAGAGCCTGCAGCTTTCCAGAAGAAAGGTTCGTGGAGCCTGCGCTGCCGGTTTACCTCCGCTGGCAGCCTCCCTCCCGAGACCACCATCGAAACCCTTTCAGCTGCAGTTGTGTGCAGCTTGTCTAAATATGTAAGATAACTTTTGTGGGCCTGCAGCAGCATTTTGGCTGGGGCCCCGAACAAAGAAGCGCCCGCGAGCTTGGCACGGCACCTTGGGAAGGGATTGTAAATTACTGGAGCATCATATAACTTTCTTTCTTTGGTTTCTCCTTTCTTTTTAGCTAGAATAACAGAGCAGGGTCAAAAAAGCAACCGTATTTGACTGAAACAATTAATTTAAAGTACTTGCAAATTAGCTGTACAGTTTGGTTGTGAATATTAGCCATTCTCATTTTGTACTTTGTTGAAAATCTCATTCAAACTGCACAAGCCATTTTGAAAGAGGATAGGTTATATATAAGACTTACTTAATATGCAGATGTCAGCATTATTTTAAATCACAGATCAGCTGTCTGGAGTAGAAGAACAATATATTGAGATCTATCGTTTTCTTTTTGTATTGCCTAGGAAGTTTAATGCTTTTGGTATAATTTGCCTCCTAAATTTCATTCTTAAAAGCAAGTCCATTGGAAAAATCAAAATGCAAAAATAAATTGCAAGTTGCATGGCGTGTTTATTTTCCAACAATTAATTAAGGGAAGGTAAGTCTAGAGTAGTTGTCCTTTTTAACCTGCTCCTAGTTATTCTTAAGAATTTCAAGCATCTGGCCCAGAGCAGATAGATACTACATTTCAGAGGAATACATGGGTGTACTGCCATTCTCCGAAGACATCTCCTGTTCAAACCACGCCGGCTTTAGCCCCTGGATGGGCGATGTACCCAGCCCCTCAGCTCTGCCGATGCAAAACGGTTTGACCATGCAAGAACCGCGGCGCTGGGCGGAAAACCACATTTTAAACCACCGACTGAGCAGAAGTCCTGTGGCTCATACTTTTTTGATCACTCAAGCTCATGTAGTGCCATGGCTGATGCCTCCCTCTTCAAGTGGTTGTTCTGAGATGGGGACATTTGGGGCAAATGGGTTTTTGAGCAGGCACCCAACGGGATGCTCAGTAAGGGGTGGCTTCAAAATGATTAATGAAAGTAAAATTGCTCCTGATCATGGACGGTCGCGAAGGCCGTTTAAGCGCTCTGTTCTCACACCTGGCAGGGAACTGTCGGTGCCCCTGCCGTGAGCAGGGAGATCTTAAAAAGCCCAGGACTGACCCTCAGCTCCGTTGTAACCAGCAGAGCCTCAGCTGGTTCACACAAGCCAAAGATGTGCTGGGTGCCCACCTTGTTCAGAAAACATGAAGTGGGGAAAAGCTTATCAGCTTGGAGTAAAAAACATTCACATTTTCTAGCACATCTGCTCAAAAAAGTTCACCAGCTAAAGGGCTAGAGGACTCTTCACATTTCCAGTTGATTTACTCAGCTCTCGGAGCCTCGTTGGCTGGGCAGGAGGATTGACAGTGTATGAGGGCTCCTAATTGAAAAGTAATAAAATCTCTGAGCAAAGCTGGCAAATGAAGGCCTCCAGCCAATTAGTCAGCTTGCAGTCAACTCAGGAACCAGGCAGAGCAGCAAGCTATTAAAAATAGTCTGATAATATCTGTTAAAATATTTTGCGGGCACTAGGGATGGAATCAAAAACAGCATAGACAAACCCTTTGGGAGTGAACTCGCTCAAATCCATCTTGGCCCGGAGGGACAAAGACGATGGGGCAGAAAGCTGCCAAAACAGACAGGAGCCAGCCCATGCCGTGAGCCCCAGGGCTGGGTGGGCTTCGCATCCCACGCCCACGGATGCTGGAGAGGTGCCGTGGAGGTGATGCGCTCCTCAGGGAGGTTGTCCCTGTCCCCCGAGCCAGCCCTTGCGTTGCCACATCGCTCGGCACCGGCGGCGGCTTCTTCTGTCCCCGCGCTGAATGGAGGGAGCCGCCGGCGGAGGGGAGGATTTGGGAGCGGGCAGGGAGGCACGGGAGGCAGCAGGAGCTGGTGCGTGGAGCAGAACTGGGGAGTGGACCCTCAAAAATTAACCAGCTGTAGGAAAAAAAGATCAGTGTTTATTCAGCAGAGCTTTAATGAGGAAAATTGCCAGCTACTGCTGAATTAAGTATTCCTAGCAGCTAATTGAAATGTTACATGTTTTAATTTGTCTGATTTTTTTCCAGTGGGTGATGTTATTTATATAGTTTGTATATGACTAATGACAGACTATACAGAAAATGTAAAGATTGCTTCCAATGGTCAGTAATATCTGAGAGCACAGACATGAACAAGGTATTTAGGAAGACATGCATTCCTTCACAGCTTAATATTAAGTAGTAAAACATATATAAAAGAACACTGTCTCATTATCATGTAAAGCTCTTTTTTTTATTTTTTATTTTTTTTAAATTAAGGATTTTTGTTTCTGCTGGTAAAGGGGCATTTTGTTTTAAAACAAATACAGTTACCATATACTACTATTGCGGAAAACTGCATTTTTGTGTCCTTTCAGCCACATTGTTTCAAGGCCACCCAGTTCCCCCAGGAGGCTATAAACAGGGGAAGGATTTAGACCCTATTCTCTTTGTCGGGGATTTGGCAAGAACCCATACAGTAGGAAGCTGAGCACAGACAAAACCGAGTGAAAGGTGTCCTTTAATCCCCCGGCCGCTGGTAGAACAAAGCCTACTCCCAGCGGGGTCCCGGCTGGCCGCACCCAGGCCGGCTTGGCGGCTTCATTTCAACTGCTGAATTCGGTGTATTTTTAGTTAACCATGTTGAGATTAATTAATTAGCCCCTAGGAGTTAGTGCCTGTAAACGTCACCCAAAGCAGAGAAGTGTGAATACGCTGAGGCTGTTAATTCACCCAAAAACGGCAGCTCGTAATCCAGGCAGGGGAAATTCAGCCCCTCCGTCGGGATGACTGGCAGCTCTGCCGCACTATCGGGTTACTGCCTCGGTGACAACAAACTACATGTCAATTTAACTTCTTAGTGATGCTTAAAAGAGCATCTTTTTATTTCGGTGAGGTAGCATTTGAAGTTGCCATTAGGAAAGAAATTGCCGTGGGGAGACAAGCATTGGCGTTTGGATAAAGAACAACATAACTGGTTTGATATCTAGAAAACTTAGTAAATGTAGAGAATAATGCTACTGCTGTAACTTCATTAGAATGGCAGAATCTATTATAATTAACCACAACTAACTAAATAGGAGCTAATTTACTTACGTGAGCCAAAATTCTGTTAACTCATAGCATATCGTAAGATACAGAGTAAGTAAGTAAGTTCTTGGGTTTGTGCTCTGGTTTTAAGTACAGAATAAATGCAGTATAATGAGCAGTTGACAAGATGTTAATTCTAAAATCTTTTGCCTAAATGCAATAAGATAGTCCACAACTGATGCAAGTTGACAATGGGAGGTGAAAAGTGTACTGTATAGCCTGCAAAGAGAAAAGTTAATGGCAATGTAGGGAAGAGGAGATATTTTGCTTTCATGCTTCATACTGTATATTTTTTTCTGTTGTATTTGTCAACTAAAATGTCTTATATCTCTCTAAATGGTGTCTTTCTCTATATGTATAAATGAACAGATGCAGATAGAGCTCAAAAGCATGGCATGGATGAATTTATCTCTTCCAATCCCTGTAACTTTGACCACGCTTCACTCTTTGAGATGGTTCAGCGCCTCACTTTGGACCACAGACTTAATGATTCCTATTCTTGTCTGGCAAGTATATTCTTTGGTCTCTAGTGATATAAACATCAAGCAGCAAAGTCAAAGCTAGTGCAAGTGGGGGCTAATCCCCCTGTTGCTGGAAGATTGACTTCTGTTTACACCAGGTTTGAATTTGGCCCAGGGGTGTTTTCTTTTGAGAGGCTACCTGCAGTGAGATAACTGCTGTTCTTCTCCAGTTGCACTGTCTTTACCATTTCTGTTTGCAATGCTTAAAATGTTTCTTCCTGCAAAGACAAAGAGCAGTGTGGGGATGTGAAGTAGAGAGCAGTGTTTTGCAGCCTCCCACACTGCCTTCCAGAGTCTTCTGGATGAAAGAACAGGGGAAAGATAACGGTCTGGTATCACCTCCCATGTCAATGGAGTCCCACCAGGAATAACTGTGTCCCAGCTTTGTGTCTCTTTATGAGCAGGGATCCCAGGCAGGTAACAGATGGGAATAGGGGGATACCTGCAGTGATGCTGCCGTCTGTCCACACTCATGTAGTCGCATGCCCATCCTGATTATTCTCATGAGCACGGGTTGCAGCTCTCAGCCCACTGCTGTGTAACAGGGGCTGTAGGACAGTGGCACTGAGATGCTCCACCACAGCTTGTAGCCTTTGGCTGGGTTGCAGTGCTTGGGGGCTCTTAGGTATTGTGAGGATTTAAATGACAAATAACCTTTAACAATACAACTTGAACAATTAATTTTTAAGCGGTTTCGGTGGGTAGAATGGAGAGGCTTTTCGGTTTTGAGAAAACAAGAGGATGAAGACTTTCTAGAGGTGCCTGAAATGCCCGTCCTGTCCTGAACATGGCACAGGACAGATCCCGACCTGCCACCCTCCTTGTGCTGCACAGAAACCTCCACGCTGGGGTCTGTGCCTTCAGCAGAAGGACAACCCTGTGCCGATAGCCTTCACCTTTTGCCAGCTGTGCAGTCCCTGGAGCTGGGGCTCTTGAGTGCCTTCCCATTAAAAGCAGCAACCTGGGAACACAACTGTGCAGTTGGCAGTAAGACGCTCAGTCTCAAATCCTGTCCTCCACGTCCCCCTCCACCATGGTGCTCCTCTCACCTGCTCTGCCCCTTGCACCTCACGCAAGAGCTGATCTCCTCAGAAAGGCTAAGATCCGGTAAATGCCATTAGCAGTAGGGAGTTGTCACCTTCCTGATGAGAGGCAGGGCTAGGAGGAACGGTCGTGGATGTCCCCTGAGGTAAGGATGGGGTGGGGGAAGGCTGCAGTGTGCAGGTACCCAAGTGGTACATGCAGGCTTGGTGGGAGCATTGTCAGACCTGCAGCAGGTTTCTCACCAGTGCCATCAAGGTCTTTGCTCCAGCAGGCAGTGAATTTGGCATGCAGCTTCTGCTCCCCACGCATGGCTCACCCTAGGAAGACCATCCCCATCCATGCATGTCTGACAGGTTGGCTTGCAGCTGGTTTGTCTCTGTGCGGTCTCGGGCCTGGTGAGAGAGCTGTGGCCGTTGAATTACGTTCATGGAGAGGTGCGAAGCCATCACTGAACATGATTAACAATGTTTCTCTTCAAGAAACCCACCAGCCACACTTCAGCTTGTTACTGAGGTGTTTAGGCCCTTGCTAGATGCTACCGGAGCAGTGGAGCTCCCCTCAGCACCAAGACCTGTGCCTCTTTGGAGCGAAGCATCATCAATTAACCACCTTCTTTCAAATCACCCGTTGCAGAGTGTTACAAAGAAGATAATAATGGCTTGTGTTTGCCTACGCTTGGACTTCCTATGCTTCTTTACTTATTTTACTATGGTTTTGTCCTGTTCATGGCGTAAAAAAACAGACTGACCTCAAAATTTGAGTTCAACTGCAAAGAGGTCCCATTGCTCTTGCTAAGTCTTTGGGATGTTGGTGGTACCACTGCGCTGGCTTGCCTGGAGGAGCTGTGAGCCTGTGGTAAGCCTGTTCTGTCTGCCCTGTGTGCTCCTGGGCAATTGTCATTCTCCCTACAGGACGTTTCCATGCAAGGTCGCGCAGAGTTTTGCCTCGTCACACCTCTCCTTGTTTACAAACGTGGACGTGGAGGTGCCAGGGAAGACTTACCAGGCACAGTGTCTTACCCTAACACAAAGGATAATTCAGCATTGCCTCCTTTCCGTGGAACCAGGTTAAACAACATTGCGAGCCCACTCACTGGCTGAGCCAGGCATCCCTATGAAAACAAACAGGCTGGCTGACTAATCTCAGCTATGGCAGAAGTGATGTTTGCTGGCAGAGAGAACTGTGCTGGGGAAGAGGAAGAGC